CTCTCTCACACACACACACACACACACACACACACGCGCGCACACACTTATTTAAATGAGGACTTCAAAACTATATAAGTATTTGTATTTTATAACGTTGTTTAATGTTATTGTATGTTCTTTATTTTTAAATTTTGGTTATTATTATAATTTTTTTTTTATAAAATTGCCTTTATTTTTCATAACACATTACTCTTTTTTTGTGAACCAATTCACTCAGACGAACAAGTTCAAAAAGCAGTTGATTTCAACCACTGCGCAGAAGTCTGTTGCATTTTGCTTTTTTTTTTGTGATGCATTTAACAATGTAATTAAATGTATTTTTTATTTTATTATTTATTTTATTATTAATTTTTTTATATTGTATATGTGAATGTATATTCAGTGTTACTAATACGCTGGCAATGTAAAGCTTCATTTTACCATGCCAGTAAAGCTTCTTCAATCTGAATCTGAATCATTTGTGACCCTGGAGCACAAAACCAGTCATAAGGGTCCATTTTTCAAAATTGAGATTTATGCATCATCCGAAAGCTGAATAAATAGGCTTTCCATTGATGTATGGTTTGTTAGGATCGGACAATATTTGGTCGAGATACAACTATTTGAAAATCTGGAATCTGAGGGTGCAAAAAAATCTAAATATTGAGAAAATCATCTTTAAAGTTGTCCAAATGAAGTTCTTAGCAATGCATATTACTAATCAAACATTAAGTTTTGATATATTTACAGTAGGACATTTACTAAATATCTTCATGGAACATGATCTTTACTTAATATCCTAATGATTTTTGGCATAAAAGAAAAATCTATAATTTTGACCCATACAATGTTTTGTTGGCTATTGCTACAAATATACCCCAGCGACTTAAGACTGGTTTTGTGCTCCAGGCTCACATTTGATTTAATCCACTGATGTCATTTGTACCAGCAAGATTCAAAAACATAAAATCTTTTACCATAGAAGAAAATGTATTGTCTAGGAGGCTTTTTTCCCCTCTAGCACCTCATTCGTAGTTGTTCAATTTGAGATTTTCAGTAACAAAACTATTGTTATTAATAAGAATAACTCAACCTAGATTTGATTGGGGTATACATTTATGATGTTCCCGATGTTGTTGTCTTCTGACAGGACCAGGTTGCCAAAGACAAAGTCATGCAGAGTATGTCCACCATGTCTTCTGCTCAGATCATCTCAGCCACAGCCTTTCAGAATAAGATGGCTCTGCAGGGGCTCTCGCGGCCGACCTACCCGACCGCTGCTGGGGTGAACTCTAACATTCACTTATGATTAGGGATGTAACGATTCACTCAACTCACGATTTCATTCGATTCACAATTTTTTTTAACAAAATGAGATTTAAGACAAATTATAAATTAAATGTGTCCTTTTATTATTGCTTGGACAAAATACTATACGTTTCTTTGTGAAATTGAAATATAACACTGTAATAATTATAGCACTTGCATATTATTGCTCTTTTGTTGGTTTTGATTGCTTCTGTTGTCCTCATTTGTAAGTCGCTTTGGATAAAAGCGTCTGCTAAAT